ATTGCAGGCTGTGTTGATGTTCAAGGTCATTAAAGTTGTCCAAACTCTTTTTGCAGTATATCGTCTATTTCCATGTACGTTTGCACACAATTCAATGCACATATTTCCCTTTTTCCTAGCTAAACATAAAGAAACTACAGGTAGCTCAATGCTTTCACACAGTACTATTGTATTATTAGTCCACCAAGAGAAAAAGATGCATTGATAAGAAAAATTGATTGAAGCCTTTTGAGCTTGGCTTTCACCAGCAGGTGTTTATCTGGAGGGCATCAGGCTTAAAGCCATAGGCGTGGTGTCTGCTACATTTTCACTTTTTCAGAGATTTTTCCTGACAGTTAAAGTTTGCAGTCAGACAAGAATCCAGATGAGTTTGATATTCTGAGAATGAATACCAGACAACAAACAACCATATCACCAAACCAGCTCAGCTAGTTCTACTTAAACAGAAAAACTTTCGTTTTAATTGCTGTCCAACTGTCAATGAAATGAACTTAGAATTAATACAAATTAAGTACAACTGAATTTTATTAAATTTAACAATTTTTAGTTCAGTTTGTATCTATTTCTATATTGCCAATCATAACAACTATCATCTTAAGGTCAAACCACCAGTAGAACCAGGATCGGGGAGGGGCAGCTATGTGCTCTGACCAGTTGGTGTTGACGGGAGAAATGAAAGTTCACCGGGGTTGATTTAAAAGTGGAATTTAGTAATTTGTGAATATTGATTGCTCAGCAGTGATTGACTTTCCAGACACCTCATTTACCGCTTAGTCTCACTTGCAAGTATGAGATTATCCTAATCTAGAAAGAAAATAAAGCAGAAGTTGCTTTAAGGTGGGTCTAACTTGTGAAGTCACCATGACCGTACGCCGTTTTTAGGTCTTGCATTCATTATGTTTCAAAAAGTAAGGCAATGACAGTCAAAATGCTCAGGGGCATAAAAGGGGTTAATGTGTGTTTGATAAGGGAATGCTTTACACCACTATCATTTTCCCATGCTGTCAAACTCAGTACTGACATCATTACTCTAGTCCAGGGGTCTGCAACCTTTAACACCCAAAGAGCCA